CGACCAAGGACGGCGAGGACTTGGCTGCCTGGATGCTCGCCACCCTTGCGAGGCCAGCAGTGGAGGATGTCAACATCGACTGCAGCTCCGCAGTGTCCTGCCTGCGGAGAGGGCGTGCGCGCGCCACCGCGCCCAGCAGGGCGAACGCCCACCTTTGGAGCAGGATTCTGGCAGCCTTCGAGCCAGGCGCTTTCGAGGTGGAGAAGGTGCCAGCCCCCCGTTCGAGGCAGGCAGTGCTCGACGGGCGCCCGGCGGAGGCCCAGAGGCGCGGCAACGACCGAGCCGACCGCCTCGGCGAGATGGGCGCCCAGACGCATGCAGTGGACAAGCTGACGGTTGGCGTGCACCAGGCGCTGTCGGAGATCGTGCAGGAACTCGGGCGCTGGATCTGGTGGGCCGCCATCATGGGGCAAGGCGTCGAGGCCAGGGACCGCGAAGGGCCCCCTCCTGCTGCCGAGCGGCGCCAGGTGCGTTTCGCTGACGCCGAGGTGTCTCAGGCAGCGGAGGAGGCCACGGGCGAGGGGCTGTCGGCCAAGGGGCCACGCCTGGAGAGCGCCCGCTCGACAGGCAGCAGCTCGGCAGCCCTTTCGGCCAGTGCAGTAGCCTTCAGCATCCTGGGACACTCCCTGTCCTATGCCTGCGCTGGAGAAGGTGAGAACACCCGGGAGCTCGTGGCATGCTCCAAGTGCGGCGCCTACATGGCGCTGGGAGGCCGCTCAGGGGTTAGGCCTCGCCTCAAGGAGCGGTGCCCAGGCGACGAGACCGACAAGGGCGGCACGAACCAGCGCAGCCTGTGGCTACGAGGACTCCATCCTGGAGGCAGGAGGCAGGAGGGGTCACGAGCCGCCAGGCACATAGTGAAAGGAGAGGGCATCCCTGCGCTGCGCTCGCAGGGTCCAGTGCCTGAGCACGCGCGGGAGCGGTGCCTGGAGTGGCCTGGCACTGCAGCGGAGCCAGCTGCAGACTCCTCGGCCGCGGCGAGCAGTGCAGGCAACGCCCCAGCGGCAGCTGCAGAGCCGCAAGTGGCCGCGGACCCAGGAGGAGCCCCATCGGATGCGGCCGTCGCTGCGGCCGCTGCCAGCCTGCCCATGCGGCGCCCAGCCGCAGCGAGAGCGGGGCGTCTCGGTGCGTTCGGGGCCATCGAGGAGGAGCTCGCCGCCGCGGCCGGCCCTGCAGGCGGCGCCCTGGAGGGCCGCAGGGTTCGCCGCCGCGTGGCGCGCCGTGGCGGCCCGTCCGTGAGTGAGTGAGTAAAGGATTGCATCGCTGTGGCTCGCGCCAGCTGCTCCATTTGGGAGTAGGCTTCCGTCGCCCTCGGTGCCTTGTGGGACTCGGCGTCTCTCGGGAACGCGGTTCCCGTCTGGCCCTGTCCGTGTTTTTGCCCCTTTGCCTTGAAGGCCCCGTCTTTAACTTTAACTTTAACGCAGGAGCAGGAGGAGCACGGCAGAGCACGGCAGAACAAGCAGGAGCATTCCGTAGCCATTTTGGCTCAAGGCCATGGAGCGCCCGACGACCGCAAGTCGTCCGCGGCGTTCCGAGCGCGAGGGTCTCCTCGCTCTGGGCCAGTGCAATTCGTTGTTTCGCTCCTTGTTGTCCCCGCGCGGAGGCGCGACCAGTCGGCCAGCGCGGCAGTGGCCATGGCGCGCTCCTCGCGCAGCGGCGGCGGTGGCAGCAGGCGCAGCAAGACGCACTGGATGTGCAGCTGCGGTGGTTGGAACTGGGGCTGGCGCACCACGTGCCTCGGCTGCGGCTGCGCGGCGCCGCCTTGGGCGCTGGATGCCGCAGCGGCCAGAGCCAGACCCCAGGTGGACAAGGACGGCTGGGTGGATCAGCCACGAGGGCGCCGTGCCCAGCGGCAGGCCCGCAGCGCGGTTACGAGTGCGGCCTGCGCCAAGTCGCAGACCTCGGCATCGGGCGACAGTGGGGCGCCCAGCGGCAGCGGCGCCACGGCGATCGAGAGGCTGCAGGCAGCAGTCGAGCAGCTGGAGGCGCTGCAGGCGGAGCCGCCCGACGGAGTTGACAGCTGCTTCACCGACGTCGTCGCCAGCCAGTTGGAGGCCAAGCGCGCCGAGCTGGTCGAGGCCCAGCGGGCAGCAGCGGAGCAGAAGGCGTCCTCCCTGCCGCTGTCGACGCTGCTCCACAAGGAGGCGAACGCCAGCAGCAAGGGCGAGAAGCGGCTCCGAGCCGCGCGCCAGAGCCTGGAGCAGAAACAGGCGGCGCGCGACCTCGCCGAGGCCCAGCTCCAGAAGGCCCAGCAGGAGCTGGCGCAGCTCGACGCGGAGGTGGAGGAAGCCTCCCGTGCGTTCCGCGCCCTCGAGGAGGAGGCCCGAGTGGAGGCCGAGGCGCAGCGGTGTCAGCGCGCGGCGGAGTGGGCAGGGTCCAGCCAGGTCCCTGGGCTCCTCTTGCAGCTGGACAAGCTGCCCGAGGCTTGGCTCCAGCCGCTTCGAGGTGGCGTGGGCAGCCATTCGTGCCCAGGTGGAGGCTGTGCGCACGCAGCTCGCTCAAGCCCCAGCGTCACCAAGGAGAGCGCCATGGGCTGAGTCACGCCCCATGGGCGAGGCCAGCAGCGGGGGCGGCAACCACGCAGGAGGCGCCGAGCCCTGGCAGCCGCAGAGCGCCGCGGAGCGCGGCCAGGCAGAGCGTCGCGGCGACGCCTGCGGCCCAGGCGTGCAAGCGGGAGCTGGTGGCCGAGGCTGCTGACCTGGCCCCTCTTGCTTCTCGCCCTGCTGGGCCCGCCGCTAGGAGCTGCAGCGGAGGTGCGAGGCCAGGGCAGCCGTGCATTTAGCCACGCCAGAGCGACGGGGCCGAGGCAGCGCGCAGGCGGTGCCGCCGATGCGGCCCGCCTAGGCGGCAGGCGGCCCCTCGACCCCGGGAGAGCGCAGGGCCCACTGGCGCCAGGCCAAGCAGCAACGGCAGCTCAGGACGTCCGATGCGGGCTCGAGGTGCTCGGGATCAACGGCAACACCTGGGGGGGGGAGCCTGGAGGTCATCGAGGCCTTTGCCTCTCGGCACGGTGCCCTGCCGCACCTGGTGATGCTCCAGGAGACCCGCTTGGCTCCGCGCCGCCTGGAGGCAGCCAGGGGAGCAGCGCGCCGCCTGGGATATGCAGCCTTCCTCCACGCGGCGGCGCCCGCGGACAAGGAAGGCCCGCTGGCGAACTCAGGTGGCGTGGCGGCCCTGGTGCGCAGCGACCTGCAGGCCGCGGAGATAGCCTGGATGGTACCGAGCGACTTGAGGCATCGCATGATTGGGGTCACAGTGTCCACCGCGTCAGGCCTGCAGCTCCTGGCGTGCTCGCTGTATCTGCAGGACGCCCTGGGGCCCAAGGGCATCAACCTCGACATCTTCGCCGCCTTCGGCGACGTGGTGCTCTCCGAAGGCATGCCCTGGCTCGCGCAGGGCGGCTTCAACATGGAGCCAGGCACGCTGCACGAGTTGGGCTGGCCCAGAGCGCAGCGCGGGACGTACCTGGGGCCTGCCGAGTGCACATGCGTCGCCCAAGGTGCTGAGCATGTGTACGACTGGTTCGTGAGCTCCTTCTGCCTGGCCCATGGGGTAAGAGAGGCCTCGGCTCTGGATGGCTTTGGGCTGTGTCCCCACAAGCCCGTGAGGCTGCTGCTGCAGGGCGTGAGACCAGACGCTCTGGTGCAAGTGCTGGTTCGACCTGGTCGTTTCCCTGATGTCGACGCAGCTGCTTGCCGCCCTCACGATGATGCTGCAGTCCAGGTGCACCGCCGCGTGGGGCGCACTCGCTGGCAGGTGGAGCCCTGCGGCTGGACCTGGGAAGTGAGCTCCCGACCGAGTGACCCCCACGAGGCCGCTCGGCAGTGGATCCAAGTCGTCGAGAGCACCTTGGTGGGGATCCGCGGCATCGATGACAGCGACCTGCACAGGTACCTGGGGCGGTCCGAAGGGCCCAAGGTTGTCCTCAAGCCCCTCAGCGCCGTGGTCAAGGGCGAGTGCCGCCATCGGCACTCGGCCCTCGCCCACGCCATCCGCCAGGCTCTCGACGTGGCGCTCCAGGGGCTCACAGCGGACAGGAGGACAGGACGCAGCGTTGGCAGCCCGCGCACGAGACAAGGTACGAGCGGCAGGCGGAGCGGGTCCTCGCCGATGTGGAGGCGGCCACTGTCGCAATTTGCGAGGAAGACGAAGTCGAGGCCCTCGAGTTCGACGCTAGCGAATGTGGCGACCTCGTTAGCCAAGCTGGTCTTCATGGAGACCCAGAGGCGATTGCAGTGCTGCAACGGCGCCTCGCGAGCTCCCAGAAGCGAGATGGAAGCCAGAGCTCGGCCTCCTGGAGGGCATGGGCCAAGGAGGCGGTGCAGAAGGGCGGCAGGCTGGCCCGCAGGTTTGCCAAGGCTGTGCTACCCCCGCAGGTGGTGGACCCCGACACTGGCAGACCCTTGGCAGGCATGCTGGCTGTCGGGCAGCTGGTGGCCAACTGGCAGGCCCTCTGGCAGCAGGGGGGCTTCAAGTCAGGAGCTGGAGTTGGCAGCTGGGACGTCCAAGGTTCGACGTTGCCGCCCCTCAGCCTGGAGATGTTGCAGGCTGTCTGCAAGCGCTACTCGCCGACGGCGGGCCTGGGGGCTGACCAGCTCCACCCGCGGCAGCTGCTGCTGCTCCCAGTGGCCCTGCAATTGCGCTGCCTGGACCTCCTGGAGGCCTACGAGGAGCAGCCCCAGGCCTTGGGCGCCCAGGCCACCATGATGGTCTTCATTCCCATGTCGGACGGTGAAGTTCGACCGATAGCGCTGATCCCGCTGCCCATGCGCATCTGGAGCCGCCTGAGGCAGCCAATCTGTGCGCTGTGGGAGGCGGAGCACGACTACCGCTTCTTCTGGGGCAAGGTTGACCGTGGGTGCGAGAAGACAGGGTGGCTGCACAACGCCTTTGCCGCCTTCGCGCGGCAGAATGGGTTTGCCGCCGCCAGCCTCTTTTTTGACACCACCAAGTTCTACGAGAACCTGCGGCACGACGTCCTGTGGCAGCGCGGGATCGAGCACGGCTTCAACTTGAAGCTGCTGCGAGGCCTGCTCGTACTCTACCAGAGCCCGCGGTTCATTTGCTTCGTGGGCATGGCCGCTGAGTCGTTCACCACCTGCAAGACGGTCCTGGCGGGGTGTGCGTGTGCAGCCACAGTGGCCAAGCTGCCCGTGCTTGCTGCCCATCCGAGCTGCCTCTGCTGGGGGCAGGCCGCTTGTGGTCGCGCGCAACGTCGTCGATGACATCGCGCTGCAGGCAGTCGGCACGGAGCGGCTGGTCGCTGCGCAGCTGGGCACGGCTGGGCTGGAAGTGGCCTGTATCCTCCGTGGTCAGCACCTGCCCATCAGTGCCGCCAAGACGACCTTCCTCGCCTCGGGTCCCAGCCTTGGGCGTCAGCTGGGCGAGTACTGGAGGTCGCAGGGCTGGACCTTCCGTAAGGCCTTGCAGGCCAGGAACCTCGGCACGAACGCCACCATCACGAGGCGAGGGGTGCATGAGGGCCGAGTACGAGCTGCTGGAGCACTTCGCCGTGCACGCAGGCTGGGCTGCTTGCGTGCCGCTGGCGTGGATGTGGACCTCATCCACAAGGCTGGACCCGCAGCCAGCATGGTGTGGGGGCGCACAGTCACGGGCATCGCTGACGGCGGGTTGCACAGCTGGAGGCTCGCCGCATGCCGCAGCGCAGGAGCGCCCCCCTATGGGCGCTGCACTTGGGCTTCGCATGCGCTGCGCCGAGCTCTGGGGGAGGCGTGACCTGGACCCTGCAGTCCTCACGGCAGGCCATGCGGTCCAGATGCTGGCGAGCCTCCTGCAGTCAGCCGAGCTGCCGCGCAGGATGATGGCGCTGGGGCTGGAGTCGGCGGCAGCCAGGCACGCGAGTGCCGACGCGCTGTGGAAGCACTGCGCCTCCCCCATCGACGCGGCAGTGCTGACTCTCGCACGGATCGGCTGGTACTTCAAGTCCGAGCGGTACCTCGTCACGGACCTCGGCGACGAGCTCGACCTCTTGCTCCTCGGGCCTCGGGGGCTAGGCCTGGAGGCTGGCTTCGGCGCTAGGCGTGCCTCCGATCGCCACGAGATGCGGAAGCTCAGCCACGACCCCCTCTTGCAGCGGCCACTGTACTGGGACGCCATCGGGCGGCTACTCGGGCCAGGCAGCGAGCTGAGCGTGAGGGAGCAGAATGCGCTTGGGGCCTACATCTCCAACGCGCACTGGACGCAGGCCAGGCTCTTTGATGCAGGAGAGCGGGGGCACGCGCGTTGTTGCCGCTGCGGAGCCGAGCGGGGCACCTTGTGGCACCGCCTGTTCGAGTGCCCTGTGCTGGAGCCCCAGCGGCGCGACGGAGTGTCCGCACGGCTGAAGAGGTGCGCAGAGCGAGCGCGGGCCCTCGGAGAGTGCTCAGGCGAGAATTTCGCCCGCTGTTGGTTGCCTGCCCCAGAGCCGCCACAGGGTCGCCGCACAGACGCTATGTGGGTGCAGTGTTTCTGTAGGCCAGCCGATGATAAGCTCAACGGCAAGCTGTACCTTGATGGCTCGGCCCTCGAGCCGCAGTTCAGTGCTTTGCGCCGCGCGGGCTGGGCCATTGCACAGTGCGACGACGACGGCAACCTAGTCGCAGGAGTCTACGGCACCGTCAGGCGAGACCTCTGCCCGCAGCAGACGGCCAAGGATGGCGAGGACTTCGCAGTATGTATGCTCGCCACCTTCGCAGGGCCAGCGGTTGAGGAGGTCAACGTCGACTGCAGCTCCACCGTGGCCTGCCTGCGCAGAGGACGTGCATGCGCCACGGCGCCCAGCAGGGCCAATGCCCATCTGTGGGGCAGGATCCTGGCGTGCCTCGAGCCAGGAACCTTCGAGGTGAAGAAGGTGCCAGCCCACTGTTCGAGGCAGGCAGTGTTCGACGGGCTCCTGACGGAGGCCCAGCGGCGTGGCAACGAGCATGCGGAGCGCCTTGCCAAGATGGGTGCCCAGATGCATGCTGTGGACAGGCAGACGGTTGGTGAGCATCACGCGCTGGCGGAAACGGTGCTGGAGCTCGGGCGCTGGATCTGTCGGGCAGCCATCCTCTGGCAGGACATCGCGGCCAAGGATTGCGCAGGGCTCCCTCCTGCGGCCGAGCGGCGCCAGGTGCGCTTCGCCGCTGCCGAGGCGTCACAGGCGGCAGAGGAGGCCGCTAGCACCGCGCCGAGGGCCAAGCGGCCGCGCCTGGAGAGCGCCCGCTCGGCTGGCAGCAGCTCGGCCGCCCTCTCGGCCAGCGCTGTAGCTTTCAGCATCCTGGGGCACGCCCTCTCCTTCGCCTGCGCTGGAGAAGGTGACGAAGCCCCAGAGCTCGTGACGTGCACCAAGTGCGGCGCCTACATGACGTTGGGAAGTCGCTCTGGAGTGAGGCCTCGCCTCAAGGGGCGGTGCCCGGGCGACAAGGCCGACAAAAGGGGGCAGGAACCAGCGCAGCCTGTGGCATCGGGGACTCCACCCTGGCGGCAGGAGACAGGAAGGGTCCCGAACCGCCAGGCACAGAGCGAAAGGAGAGGGCATCCCTGCTCTCCGCTCGCAGGGGCCCCTGCCTGAGCATGCGCAGGAGCGGTGCCTTGAGTGGCTTGGCATCGCAGCGGGGCCAGCGGTCGACCCCTCGGCGGCGGCGAGCACAGCAGGCAGCGCCCCTGCAGCGGCCGCGGCGCCCGTAGAGGCGGAGGGCCTAGGCGGGGCCCCTGCTGCCGCACCCACCGCGGCCGCCGCCGCCAGCCAGCCTCTGCGGCGCCCTGCTGCGGCGAGAGCTGGCCTCCTCGGGGCGTTCGGAGTCGCGGAAGAGGAGCTCGCCGCCGCGGCCCATGCAGCGGTCGGAGCCCTTGAAGACCGCAGGGTGCGCCGCCGCACGGCACGCCGTGGCGATCCGACCGTGAGTGAGTGAAATCGTGCATCGATGTGGCCAGCGCCTGCTGCTCCCCTGTGCGAGTAGGCTTCCGCTGCCCTCGGTGCCCGCCTGGACTCGGCCTCTTTCGGGGACGCGGGCCGCCCCGTCTGGCCCTGTCTGCGTTCTGACCACCACTTGCCTTGAAGGCCCCGTCTTTAACTTTAGCTTTAACAAGCAGGAGCGTTGCAAAACACAGAAAACACATAGGAGCACGGCAGGACAAGCAGGGGCGCGGCAGAACACACAGGAGCACGGCAGTACACATAGGAACACGGCAGAACACATAGGTGCACGGCAGAAATGACCTCAGAACACACTGGAGCACGGCAAGCACGCAGAATAACGATCAGCACGGCCGAACACACCGAGTACATAGGAGCACGACAGAACTCATAGGTGCATGGCAGAACACAGGAGCGCGGCAGGCCACACACCACACATAGGAGCACGGCAGGTCAACCAGCAGCACGGCAGAACACACAGGAGCACGGCAGAACACACAGGAGCACAGCAGAATACATAGGAGCACGGCAGAGCAGGATCATGGCAGAATGCACAGGAGCACGGCATAACACACAGGAGCACAGCAAAACACGCAGGAGCACGGCAGAACACAAAGAACATCCATTCACACAGCCGGACCCACAGGCACACGCACATAGGCACACGCACATAGGCATACCCACATGCACACGCACACACACACAGACACATACACACACGCACATACACACACACGCACACACAGAGAGGCATCATACGTTCACGCAGACCGCAGGAGTACGGCAGGGCAGCACGGCATAACACAACAGTGCCGCAGACCACCACGCACGGACACACATGCACATATTCCACGCACGCACGCGCACGCGCAAACGCACGCACGCCACGACAGACTTGCGCAACGCATACTAAGAACGTAGAAGCCCAGGACACAAAAGGACGCTTCCCGTTCTTGTCCCTTCAGGTTCCCGGCCTTGGTGCGCTTGCCGTTCTGCGGTCGTGGCCAGCAGGGCAAACCATGCGAGCAACTCTTCGAGGTCAGAGTCGATGCTTCAAACGAGGTGCAAACATATCTATATGTATACATCTATGACATTGGCCGCTTGCGTCCGTTGCAGTTGTTTCTGGGGCGGTGTTCTCTCGCTCACGCGCGTGTGTGTGTGTGTGTGTGTGTGTTGTGCTGTCAGTCTGTGCGCGTGGGTCGACAGGTTGTCATTGTTTGTCCTTGGGTGTCCAATCGAATGTTTAGCAGCAGTGCTGAGTATGACCAGCGGAGCGTGACCACGAGGGACGAGACATCCGCAATCAAGCTCAACAGGTCTGAGCTGCGGCTCTGAGGATATGTTCTGGTCTTCTTTCACCTGGTGTGGCGGTGCGCTCATGGCTGCGTCTGGCGGAGGTGAGGAGGTGGAGGGATGCTAGAATATGTAAATTGGTTGGGAAGTTCGTGGTTGAAGCTGAATATGGGCGCGTGGTTGCATCCTCCGCAACCCACTGTTCACCGAGTGCCGTACTGTAGTGGTGTAGATTCGTTGCGGTCATATGGAGCTCGCTTGGGATGCTTAAGAGCCGTCTTGGGCCTCTTGGGGACGTCTTGGGAGCCTCTTGGGCCGTCGTGGGGCCATCTTAGGCGATCTTCGGGTGATGATCTTTGGGGCCTCCTTGGCCGTCCTGGGCCTTCGAAAAGCCGTTTTGAAGCAAATTCCCAGAATTTGACATCTTCGGCCTTCCTGGAGGACCTCTTGGAGACCCCTCGGGCCGTCGTAAAAGCCGCTTTGGCGTTTCGTGGGTCGTCTTGGGCTCTCTAGGACCATCTGGGCGATCTTGGAAGCATCTTGGGACCGTCTTCGAGGCCATCTTGGGGCTATTCTTGGGCTCTCTTGGTGTCATCTTGGCCGCCTTGGAGGCATCTTTGAGGCCATCTTGGCACATTTTGCCGTCTTGGAGACCATCAAGGCCGTCTTGGAGATTTGTTTTGTAATCTACGGGTTCTTTGGGTGGCCGGCGGGTTGGTCCGAGACCCCATTGGGATTTTTTAAGCAACCAAGAACCACCAACAATTCAGTTCGCCGTGCACTCCTGTGGCAAGCCAACGGGGAGCGGCGGATCGAAGACGCCTACGGCGAATCACCGCCGCCCCCTGCCTTTTTGGAAGCGCCTATGTGGCCGAACGTTGAGGCCAGACCTGCCAAGCTATCGGGCCATGTGTTCCCCGAATTGGTTTGGAAAGACTTCGGGGAACACGTGGGCATCTTGAAGGTCATCTTGGCCGTCCGGAGGCCATTTTGACCCTTTCGGGCCTTCTTGGAGGACGGCTTGGAGGGCTCTTGGGCCGTCTTGGAGGCCACCTTGAGCGTCTTGGAGGCCTCTTGGGCCGTCTTGGGGGCCTCTTGGGGCTGTCTTGGCCTCTTGGGCGATCTTTGGGGGCACTTGGGCCGTCTCGGGCCGTCGGAAGGCCGAACAAAAAGCAAATGCCGCAATCCTTCAAAAACTAGTGGGAAGTCACTGATTTTGGCCTTTTCGGGCCTTCCTGGAGGCCCTCTTGGAGGCCTCGGGCCTTCTTGGGCCATCTCAGGGCCATCTTCGGCCGTCTTGGTGGGTTCCTGGCCTGCCTGACGCCGTCGGAAGCCGTTTGGGGGGCCTCTCTGGGCCGACTTGGGGCCCTCTTGGAATGCTCCAGGGCCGTCCTGGAGGCCATCTTGAGCGTCTTCAAAGCCTCCTGGGCCGTCTTGGGGGCCTCTTGGGGCCTTGTGGGCCTCTTGGGCCGTTCTGGGGCCATCTTGGAGGCCTCTTGGGCGATCTTTGGGCGATCTTTGGGGGCTCTTGGGCCGTCTCGGGCCGTCGGAAGGCCGAAAAGAAGCAAATGTCAAAATCCTTCAAAAACCTCTGGAACATCAGTGTCTTGGGCCTTTTCTGGCTTTCCTGGAGGCCCTCTTGGAGGCCTCTTGGGCCGTCTTGGGCCAGCTTCGAGCCAACTTCGGCCATCTTGGTGGGTTCCTGGCCCGTCTGACACCGTCGGGAGCCGTCTTGGGGGCCTCTCTGAACCAGCTTGGGGCCCTCTTGGGGCACTTCGGGGCTGTCCTGGAGGCCATCTTGGGCGTCTTGGAGGGCTCTTGGTCCGTCTTGGGCCCGTCTTGGGGCCCTCTTGGGGCCGTTTTGGGGGCCCTTGTGCCATCAAGGGGCCCTCTTGGAGGCCTCTTGGGCGATCTTGGGGCGATCTTGGGGGCCTCTTGGGCCGTCGTGAGCCGTCGGAATGGCGAGAAGAAGCAAATGCCCCAATCCTGCAAAACCTAAAGAAAAGGCCTCTTCGGACCCTTCTGGAGGGCCTTTTGGAGGCTTCTTGGGTCGTGTTGGGCCGTCTTGGAGGCTTCTCGGGCGACCTTGGAGGTATCTTGGACTCTCTTGGGCCGTCTTCGAGGCCGTCTTGGAC